AGCAACTAAGAAGTCACTAAATTGCCACTAAAAATATAGCAACAATACTAATTTATGATTTTCTTCTTGCTTCGCTTTCAGTGACTTCTCGAGGAAGCTCTGTATAAGGTGATTGATAGTGGTGTGGTTTGTAGCATGAATTAAAGCTAATCGACTGCTTCCATGCGGTTTATATCATCATAAAGTGAAACAAGATGTAAGTTCCTCGGATAAAATCTAGCTAAATATTAATTAGTGACCACAGTCCTGCCTTTTAGCATGCAAGTTTGGAGTAATTTTTCATATTCAGTGAGGCAGTGTACTTACACTCACTTTATACTTTGTAGCTGTCAAAGCGTCTGTGAACTAACAGAAGTGAGAAATATGGGCTATTGGATTCCGACTCGGTGGCTCAATAATAACATGCTGGCCATGTAATCCGAAAGTCTTGGGTGCGCACTACTGAGGAGGTCCATATTAAGAAAAGATAGCTGTTCAGTGCTCCAAGGTTTCCAATGTTCCTCTAACTGATGTCAGTCCATGATGAATTCCAACCTGAAAACTGGTTTGTCTGGTTAGTTGTTTAATAAGTCTTAAAGATCTGTCCGATGATATTCCTAGCGGTATTCTGAAAGCCAATGTGACATGATAATTCGAAAGAATTCTGCTGGAGTCAAGTTTAACTTATGGGGCAAAATGCCTTAGTGCAGTGCTTTATTCCGGTGCAACTGACTTCTTTGATTTAAGGTTGTCTAGCGTCTCTATTCGTAGTAATCATTATCTTCAAAGTTGTATTCCTCATAAAATGACAAGAGTTTGAGAAATATTGAAAACCCGGAAGCACTGAACAGCTGTTACGTTCTAGTATGCGACTTCTTAGTGGTGTACATTCATGACCCAGGTTTTCAATGGTTCTCAATCTGATGTCAGTCCATGATGAATTCCAACTTGAAGTCAATTAAATCCCCACTAACCTCCAAGGTGAATAAAACAAACTGTTTGTTCGGATATTAGTCAAGAAAAGAAATGGTTGATTGAATTCAAACATATTTCAACTCAGTATTCTGAACTTCATTATGATGTGCTGGTGCGCTTGATAATCACACTTCTTAATCTGTTCAGGGTTTTTGATGTAAGCAGAGGATACTATAATCCAAAAAACGATTTGCTGACTAATTTTTCTTGCTGTTTGACTTTAAATCAAGAAAAACTAAAGATCAGTAGGCAGTTATTAACCGTTCCAATTCGCTTAGAACTCTTCGTAGTTCAGACCCATGATCTCATACAGTTTCAAGCCAGTTGAGGAAGTGGTAAAGTTTCCGTATTGAAATTCATCAATTTTCATTTTCCAGCTGTTTTTTTCTCTCCATATACCATGATGATAGACGCTGTTTGATGTTTATCTTTTTTGGCTTTGTAGAAATAGTCATCACCTTTGAAGACTTGATTAAATGACAAATGATATGTCATTTTTCTACTAGCAGTAGCAACAACTTCCTGCTAACTGTTTTCTTTTTGTATCCACCTCGTTGTTGCTGGAATATTGAGTGAATGTTAGATCGATAGTGTTTCAACGGTAGACTTTTCATATATATTTTTACCTAAAATAACATTCGCATACCTGAATCTACAGATTATGCCAATGTACTACAGTGACTTCAAAGTAGCCTCTCTTGAAAAAACCGATTAGGTTATTTTAATTCAGCTAAAAAGTTAGTTTCTTTAGCAGTGAGCGAGACAGGCTTGAATCACCAAGGTTCTCTAGCTCTTTCTGAAGTTGAGAAGGCTGTTTCGAGCCTGAATAATTTAAAGTAGCAGGATCTGACGGCTAGACAGCAGGAGATTCTAGAGAAAGTGGCTGAAAATTACTGCATGTATAGGAATCAAACACAGTCCGTCGTATTGGTCTGTTTCACTTGTAATTCCGGTGCATAGGAAAGGAGATGTCTGTTTATGACCGCCATAAGGGACCTGGTTTGACTAGTATTGTGTCCAAGATCTCCGGGTCATTAGTTGTCCGACGCCTATTTAGAGCTCAAGAAGAGAAAACTCGAGAGAGCTGAGGGGTTTAATACCTGTACTATAGTGTCGCGATCATATTTTCACCCTGTGACAGGTTCCAGAACACAGGCATACTCACCGACCATAATCACGATACTTGTCATATTTCTAACCTGATGATGGCACTCGATTCTGTCGATCGTGAAGGGTTGTGACATTGCATGACTGTGAAGGAAGTACCTAGAAGTATATAATGCTTATCAAAACTTTCTTCTCGAACTCACGCAGCCATATAAGGCTTTATGGGAAGTCATCATGTGAATTAACAACAACTAGTGTGTACGCAAGGGATGTCCACTGTCACCATTCATATTGAACTTTGTTATAGATATACTCTCTGAAGGTCATCTGGTTGATTTGAAGCATGCAGACAATATTGTTCTGCTGCGTGAAGACGCTGAAAAAATAAAGGTATTCTGAAAGCGTTTAGCAGAAATTTCAGTATCTTTGGTATGTATTTTGCACTCGTTAAATTTAAGATGGTGCTGCAGGTCTGGTCTACTGCAAGCTCTCCTATTTTAGTGATAGGAAGAAAGTGGTGGGATGTGTCGACCGCTTCACTTACTTGAAGAGATGCATCAGCTCGGGCTCGGGTAACCAAACGAAGGCATAGCACCAGTTCATGAAGTAAATGAATGCTGCTATGAGCCCTGTAGGTAGGTGGAAACTACCTGCTTGGGGTCGTCGAGATATTGGGAACTTAAGGATGGAGGGCCATGGTAGCACGGCTGAAAATAGGCCACAGTTGCCAGGGTGTATCCGGTCTTTAATATCTTTCAAAGCTTGAATATCCTCACTAACCTCGATTTCAAGTCCTCGCTCTGCTGAAACACCTTTCTCTGCTTTAATGCCAATCTGCTACTGTCAATTTATTCTTTGCATGTTTCTGTGGGTATGTTAACTTCAAATGTTGCTTTTCTGTGTGAGACTCAGATTTATGTGTCTGTCTGAGTCACCGAAGGAACACTATTTTCCTCATGGTTGAAGATGCTTCACGCTGATGAGTGCCAGCAAGTACGAAACCTTGGTGGAGTAGAGCTTCTTGCTGATTGACTCCCAAAGTTAACTAGGTCTCTGATTGAATGACAGGATGGCTTTCAGAGTCCCTCATGTACTAATCATGTACAATTAATTCTAAAAAGGATAGACTAATATCGCGTGAACACAGTGATGAATGCGTCTCGTAGGAATGTAAATAAGTTTAAATTGCAGCAAGATCGAAAAAGAAAAGAAGTGATGACATTCAGTTAGTTAAGACTCAGAGGGAAACAGACACAATATCACATAGAACCAGAGATGACCACAACGTTATACACTAGGATCTCGAATAAGAGAAAAGCGGCGTTTACGAGTTTAGTGTAGATTTTCCAAAGCTTATCAGTACTACTCCTCTGGAATTCTCTTCAGTGCCATCAAAAATACACTTATACTGAAAGAGTAGTTCGATTACCTTTGAGCCAACCACTAAATTCTTATACTAGAGCGAAATCACAAGGATATGGAATAACTACATTTTTAGGTACTTTGTTAAACTAACTTATTGTCTTTCTGTTGTAGAACTGTAATCAGTGTGAAAACTTATGCAGTAGAAAACTAACTATCAGAATATAATGCAAAAGCAGTTTGCTTTTCACTGAAGCAGTTAAAAATATGCCTAGATAGCAAGTTGTTATCCTTCCTGTTGAGTACTTGATTCTCGTTCTTCATAATGAAAACTGACTAAAGGATAAGCATCTTTGAAATACTGAATAAGCTGGCAAAAAAAGCTTTTAATATCTTCTGGTCTATACTGCTGTTTAGATTAATTAGTAACATAAAGTGTTGTCTTTAAATGATTCAGTTCTCTCAAACCCTGATATGAACATTATTTCGCATAGTATTTAGAAACCATTGTAAGGAAGAAGTCTATAAATTTCATATGAAAGTGAAGTGAAACACATGACAGCAAGTGTTTAATCTAAATTATTAAATAGGTAAGTCAGTTTTGAGGTTTATTGGGATTTATTGATTTCAGGTTGGCATTCATCATGGACTGGTATCAGTGCTCATTGGTGATTAGCTTCGAAAGGTGGTTCCCGAAGCCCCAATGAGAAGCCGTGACCAGTGAGGTCAACCAAGTGGAACATGCAGACAGTTGTTGAACGTTGACATTGAATGGAGGTCACGCTACATCTTAAACTGATAGGAGCAGGAAATATGGACAACTGGGTCCTGAATCAGAGGCTCAAGGGTAACATGTTGGCTGTGGAACCTGAAGATCCTGGGTTCGACCCTCTGGGGGATCATGCGTGCTAACTGCTGAGGATTCCCATACCAGGACGAAACTGCTATTCAGTGCTCTCAGGTTTCAAATGTTTCTCCAGCTGATGTCAGTTGACGATGAATACGAATTTAAATAGTTAATGTTGCGAAATATTAAGCAGCTGTCCTAATATCTTCAAGTGAATGTTGAAGGCAATTACTTTTACGATGAATAAATGAGTCGTTTGACTCTTGAATATTTTCAGTATTCTTCATTGGACGAGGTGAACAAAGTCCATTCATAAGTAACTGAACTACTAATTAGTCGATGTTGGCAACTGTAAGATTAACACCGACTGGAAAACTAATATCACTGCTCTACAATATCAGTTGCTTTGCTCTACTAGGTTAGCTTAGTCGGTAAAAAGATGACTACCCAGGTTAAAACAGTTAAGGATATCTTAAAAAAGTTAGCAACGCCTAAGGAAATAATTTTTCATTTATTCTTATTTATCTCATCTTTCAAAATCAAATTTTAATTTCTTTTTCTGCCTACTTTCCTATCCTTTTAAACATAAAACTAGATGCATAGTTAACATTGTAATATCCACTTACTTGAATAGTGACATATAGATAATATATACGTTTTAAAGCATTCAATTTTATAAAGTATAATACAGAATCAAGGGAAGTAATAATTATAAAGCAGTTCAACTTACTTTCATAAAGTCAACACTTGAGTTAAGCTTATTCTCTCTTTGGAAAAGTATAAGAAATTCTTCATCAGTTGGGAGCAACTGAGCTAACTGGTATATAAAGAAAAAGTTGATTAAAATGTGAATTTTGAAGAGAATAGTAAAAAGTATGAGTTGAAGATTTGAAATGATCAAAAAAGAATATCGATGAATAGTCTTAATTAAAGACATTGTCGCCTAAACCTGATACAACTGAAGAAATACAAATTTAAAACAATAGTTAATGTGGAGAATATATCAATACGCAGAAGTTCATAACAATGATACTGGGTAGCGATCGGAAAGCAAAAAGAAAGTTGACATACTGTTGAGTGAACCATTAGAAAGTGGTAATATAACCGGTCGCGATAGGATGATAAGTAAAAACTAGTCTCCATTTCCTGCCAGTATCAGAGTTATTAACCATACCGACTGATATCCAGTTCATCAGTGTGTTGATATACTGAATAGGATTATTTGAATGTCTAATTTATTTTACTGGAAATCAATAACTTCTATGTGTCTTTATTCAGTATTTTTGTCGGTATTCAGTCAAGAGCAATCTGTAGTAAAGTTCAGAGGTTTTGATTCAGGCACCCTGTTTTCTGCATATTAGTAAAATAAAAGTCACAAAGCCAAAACAGTCATGGAGGTTCAGAATAATCGGCTGAAAGAAGCGCAGGTGCTAGTTATATAAGCATTTATACAACTGTCCACAATAGGACTTGAGTTTGGTTATTTCGCTGTAGTTGTCCATTCCTCGTTCATCAGTCACCTCGTCGAAAAGTGCTGAATAGACTTGGTAAAATCCGGTCACAGAAATGCTGGCGTACACATTACTGAAGATAAGATGGTAACTTTATATAAATCCAACATACAGCGAAGATAACTGGTCTTGTCGACAACTATGTTCTACGCCTATACACTCGTAAATATGTAACAAAATATAAAAAAGATGACCCAAATAAGACTCCGGGTCAAAGAAAAAACTTAATCTATAGATGTAGTGACGAATGAAACGATACTACGCAAAACAAGAGAAGGTCTCAATAGAGTTTATAAAATGCATTCAATAGTAAGATCTCGTACCCACTAAAAATAAACAAGCAAACATATGAATAATTTACCAAAATATAAGGATAAAACATAAACAGAGGTGTAAAGCATCTGGTTGGGACCACGGTAGAGAGACTGTCTCCACATGCCTACTCAAAAATACACAACTGGGATTTGAAACCGTGAATTGTAGAAGCATTGGCAGTATATGCGTCTCTAATCCTCACCCTAATTGAACGGTCTGCTCAAAATTTGTGAGAGAGTTTAGAACGAGGTTTCCAGAGAAGCCAGATGTCCAGAGTCTGTGAAACTTTCAACAATGGAGCTGGAGATGGATGTTTGCTCACTCTTCTGCAACCAGTCTGAGTAATTTTCGTGAGTGTGTTTGGTAAGCGAGTGTGCTATGCTAAAGGTATACTCAACTCCACGGAAGCAAATGAATTTGTGCCTGCTCACTGATGAAATTCAGTGCGTGAAGTTGTCTTTCATGTATTGACTGATCAATTGTTGACATGTGAACGCAAGATAAACTATCATTGTAATTAATGAAAAGAATTGACGAAAAATGTATATCTCGTCATGATCTACCTAGGTGAAGACGATGGCGTAGTACTACAGAATTAGAGCGACTTAGATGACAAGACCTTAACTATTTCGGCAGACGAAAAGAAATTCTTGGACTGAATGAAGCAGAAAGATCCACGGAAAAGATAGAGAAGCAACTCTTCAAACAGCTGGAGAAAATGAAATATTAATCAGTCATTAGCAAGGATCTCTAAAACCAATATCGGTCTCCTAGCACTATTACTTCATGCTCATATGCTTAATCAAAGTGCACAGATATGGCACCTCTCTCCATTCAATACTGGACATCATTGACTACCCAGTTGCAAAATGGCTCGCGTAAGTTATCGAAACAGCTCTTGAAATACAGTTCTACTAACACATTTGAGTCTACTTAGTCAACCGGATATATTATTCTGTTCGGAAGAAGAATGGTTTCATTCACAAATTTTGCGTTAAAAGAAACAAGTTATTTCATTTGGAACTTCACTCACTCCAGAAATTTCGTGGTTCATCTATCCATCCATCACCTGAAAAAACTTCTGAGACATACGTTTAACATTCGCTGCATATTTGTAAGTGAAATTTACAGACAAATTGATCGCGTAGCAATAGGATCGCCTTTTAACCTTTACTTGTAAATTACTTCGTGGTTAGCCCTGAGAAAAGCACATTATTCCAAACAGTCGATCAACATTGTGCGTCGACGCTACTTCATTGTATGTAATAACAACTTGGATTTGACACACCAACATTTCAACGACAGTCACTCTCCAGTCAGCCTTAAAACTGAAGCTGAAACCAACTCGTCATTTCATTTTCTTAACGTCAAATTCCAGAGACTATCTGATAATTCCATTCAAATAATCATTTACAGGAACCCCATCTGAAACTGGAAACCTACCAACTATCAAAGGTGAATGCATTTAGGTGGAAAGAACAATCATGTGTGCTCACTGTCATATAAGGAATAAAAAAGATATTCAGTGATGACACACTTAGTGTGGAATTAGAAGCTTCCTGAGAAACAGTGTCACAGAATTGCAACCCATCAAGATGTAAAGTGGAAAATATGAAAGAAAAGAAACCTACGGACTGTATTCAGACAGCTACAGAGAAAATGCTATTAATGAACCACAGATTTAAATATTATGCTGCAGCAAACACTCCACGTAGACGCCTGTCAAAGTGATTTAGTCAAGCGTTCTGTGCTGCAAACCTCCGTATTCCGTTCACATGTCAACAATTGATCAGTCAATACATGAAAGACAACTTCACGCACTGAATTTCATCAGTGAGCAGGCACAAATTCATTTGCTTCCGTGGAGTTGAGTATACCTTTAGCATAGCACACTCGCTTACCAAACACACTCACGAAAATTACTCAGACTGGTTGCAGAAGAGTGAGCAAACATCCATCTCCAGCTCCATTGTTGAAAGTTTCACAGACTCTGGACATCTGGCTTCTCTGGAAACCTCGTTCTAAACTCTCTCACAAATTTTGAGCAGACCGTTCAATTAGGGTGAGGATTAGAGACGCATATACTGCCAATGCTTCTACAATTCACGGTTTCAAATCCCAGTTGTGTATTTTTGAGTAGGCATGTGGAGACAGTCTCTCTACCGCGGTCCCAACCAGATACTTTACACCTCTGTTTATGTTTTATCCTTATATTTTGGTAAATTATTCATATGTTTGCTTGTTTATTTTTAGTGGGTACGAGATCTTACTATTGAATGCATTTTATAAATTCTATTGAGACCTTCTCTTGTTTTGCGTAGTATCGTTTCATTCGATCACTACATCTATAGATTAAGTTTTTTCTTTGACCCGGAGTCTTATTTGGGTCATCTTTTTTATATTTTGTTACATATTTACGAGTGTATAGGCGTAGAACATAGTTGTCGACAAGACCAGTTATCTTTGCAGTAGCCTCCTTTCTCACTTTTTCTTCATTTTTAGAGTACAGCCATGAATGGGAGTAACCGAAGTGGGAGTTTTATATGACTCATGAGTTATATATGTGGCTGTGATTAAATGTTTTTAATCCATAGATTGCTTTATTATCCACGTATAGTATCTAGATCGCTTAGCCTACTTAGGTCATTGTATATGAATTATACGAAACAGATATCTGTGTTTGGGATAATGTTTGTAATGTTGAATGATAATACACAACTCAAATTATCATTTATTGCACATTTGATGGCCCTCGTTCCTTCACTATGGTAGTGGATAACGTTCTGGCGTTCGAAGCAATGGGTATAGGTTTCGAGTTTAAGTGAGAACCATATCATCCACTGGTGTGTATGTTCATCCATCCGTCAAGTTTTAAATAGGATATATTGCACGTCCTGGACTATACTGCCAGGTACGGCCAAGTAAATTAAAACCAGCTGAGGTGGCTGACATGTCTTCATTGAAACAGCAAGCACTGTAAATCGTGAGCAGAATAATTTGGTTTGGATAGTTACACTGTGAATAGGTATGAACTAAAGGACGGCTGGAAACCTAGGTATTGTTTATAGCGCGTCGATTCTACGCATCATGTAGACTCATGATTTAAAGCACCTTGATATCAATGAATTATCTAGAAGTCAATCACTTGAACATCAGCTAACTAGGCACCAAAATTAATAGCAGTTTCAAGTTTACTTATCAACTGACTTGTTATTTTCTACCTTTGTTCATATTTAACTAACTACTGTTTTTGCATGTTTGATTTCCCTGCCAGTTATAAGGACTTACTACTATTCTGAGTCCACATTTACGTTCGTGTACACTAGGAATAGATCGTGAGTTTCGCTCAGTCTAGAGCATATATATATTACATTCAGGAAAGTAAATGATAATTTTTTGATCCTGATTATTTTGTCGTAAAACAGGAGGAATTATTAGTAGTTATCACTGAATAGTTAATGTTACTTTGAGCATTTAAGAGGAGACCCATAGGAAACAATTCGGTAGACTTCATAAGTACTTTCCTTTTCCATGAATTAAGTTGATAAAGGTACTACTAGTAAATAATTTTATCTTCTATATCATTCTAATAAGAAGAACAGCAATAAAATGAATGAATAATTGGCCCAAATTACGGCATCATAGTTTGACACAGCATCTTTGGGGAGTTGCAAAAACCTTCACTTTCTATAGCTCCTTTTCTATACCTTAGAATCAGTATAAGTCGCATCCATTTACTGAGCTGTGGCGCTAAATATAGCTGATCTCATAAAATGTTTAGATTAAATGAGTATTTTGTCTATACAGTGTAAGGTTAACCAGTGTCTGAGTCCAAGACATTCACTTCTAAGCACCATGAAATATTGTTTTCAAACCATATGTTCACATCCTAGAAGAATGTTCAATAAAAAAAGTAAAATGATTGATTATTTACATCGATGAAAACGTGGCTTAAGCGAAAAGAAGAGAATATAGAAGGATACTTCGAAAA